TCAAGGGTTGTCTTTGGTAAGCAATTAAATCTCTTTCAGTAAAAAAATGTAAACATTAAAAAATCAGGTCAAGTCCTGCAATCCTCACTGAGGCAAAATTATCATTGGGCTACATCCTGAGAGATGCTGAGCACCTGACATGCCCATTGACTTCAACAGGAGCTTTGCCTGTGAGACAGAAGGCACGAAAACTCTCAGACCTGACTTATTGTTAGTTGGCTCCTTCCATGGGTGCCTCTGTCATTCTCTTTTTTTTTTCCACGGAAGCCAGAGAGCAGCTGATTTGACCCTGCAGTTGCACTGGAAATTTTTCAGAGCCATTTGGTAGAAGAAGGTATTCTGGTCATTTTGTCCCACAGGCTATAGAGTATCATTTCTTCAGCATACTCTAGGGCAAAGAGCAACATGCAGACAGATAACGCTGTGATTGAGCAATCTACCACTGCAGAGGCTGGGAGTGCTAGGTCAGAGGTTAGCAGAAAATAAGCAGGGGGGGCCTAAAGAATACCTAAGCATCACCAACAATTCACAAGGGAGAGAGGCAGTTGGCAACCGACCACTGATACCTGCTCTGCAATGAGAGTTGAATTAGGCCAGCTTCAGTGTAGTCTGCCTGTGAAACTCATTGCTGCAGGAGACTACAAAATTAAATATTGTAGCTGGGTTTTTGAAAGGGGAAAGATATTCTGTGCCCACTAGTAAGATTTGTAGATCTGTATATGAAGATAACGGGAAAGATTGGGGAATAGGGTGTAAATTGGAATGGGATACCACTCCCTCAAACTCCATGTGAAGCTGGAATTCAGACACATGCTATGTTTATAATGTGGCAGGTTATGAGTGCAAAACATTCCACATTTAAAGCAACGTTAGTGAAGAGGTATGTGCACATAACTAAGGACCAGGGTGCTGTGGAAGGATCAAGGGCTAGAGTAGGGGACAAAACAAGAGTGAACATGACACACTGTATCAAAATGTGATAAAGAAACACATTATAGTTCCGTGTATGGCAGCCTTTGTTACAATGATCCTCCAGCTAGCCTTAGCAAAAGCTAACCTTACCTCCCTCCCTCCTTTCCCATCCCTCTCTCCTCCTGTTTGTTTGAAGTGTTGTCTTGCCTTTTACATTGCAACACTGTGACTGAATCTGCCTCTTACTATATGTCTGTACAGTGCCCAGTACAGTGGAGCCCTGATCTCACTGAGAACTCTAATGACTAATTGCAATGCAAGTAATAAAGAACAAGGTAACAATTTGCAGTGGGAAGTATTTGGAGTTTTTATACAAATGCAGTCCGACTCTTACTACAGAGCAGTAAATAGTGACATTTTGGTAGGCAGAACTTCCTATGAACTCTTCACTCTTTGATCTGTTGGCATTATACAGTTGTGGTCTGTCCAACGCTGACAGCAGCTCTTTCTGGACTGTAGAAAGATATGGGAATGCAGAATTGGAGATCTTGGAACCACTGTAAATCAAGATAGAGCAAGTCTCTGAGTGAAAAGTTTCTGCAATGCTTTGGCATGGATCTGAGCTTGGGAAAACATGGATCTGAGCTTGGGAAACCAGGTGCTCCTGTGATGCTACAGTAGAGCTGTGAATCAGGGAGCAGAATCCAAGATAGGCTGGGAAAACCAGAGGCTGTGTCTACACTGGCCACTTATTCTGGAAAATCAGCCACTGTTCCGGAATAATTTGCCAGCTGTCTACACTGGCCCCTTGAATTTCTGGAAAAGCACTGATGATCTACTGTAAAATCATCAGTGCTTTTCCAGAAAAACTATGCTTCTCCCGTTCGGGCAAAAGTCCTTTTCTAGAAAACTGTTCCAGAAAAGGGCCAGTGTAGACAGCACAGATTTCTTTTCCACAAAAAACCCCCGATCGCGAAAATGACAATCGGGGCTTTTTTGCGGAAAAGCGCGTCTACATTGGCACGGACACTTTTCCAGAAAAAGTGCTTTTCCGGAAAAGCATCCTGCCAATGTAGACACGCTTTTTCCGGAAAGACTTATAATGGAAAACTGTTTCGTTTTAAGCATTTCCGGAAAAGGGTGCCAGTGTAGACGTAGCCAGAGTGATCTCTGTAAAACAGATCGGAATAGGCTGTGTTCTCTTTGTCTTTTTTCTTTTATATTCATTTTGTTTCACTCTTTCGCTGTTTGCATCCATCTTCTTCAAACAAAGCAGTGAGAACTTGTGTTTTATTGCATTAGAAATAGAGCTGGTTGGGAATTGGGGGTCTTTTTCTTTCTTTCTTTCTTTCTTTCTTTCTTTCTTTCTTTCTTTCTTTCTTTCTTTCTTTCTTTCTTTCTTTCTTTCTTCTCTCAAAAATGACTTATTTTGAACAAAAAAAAAAAAAAAAGAATAAAATTCAGGCCTTCCCCATCCCCACAACAAAAAATATTCTAAACAAGCAGACATTTACTTCAAAAAATGTCTTCTTGTCAGTAACCCAGTTTTCTTTCAAAAATGTTTTCAAAAACTTTTTTGGATGAGCCTTAATAAAAAGTGCTGCAACTTTCACTTTCATCTTGGAGAAAAAACCAGAGCTCAGCACCCTCTAATAGGAGCATCTACTTCTCAATACCTGCATAGAACAGCTTTCTAGAGCAAAAACTCCTGAAGAGCATGAAAACACAGAATGTGAATATAAATAACCATAAAAGCAGCCCTGGCTCACTGCAACTTACCAATATTTCCATTGTGTAGAGATGTTTGGATCTATACAGATATAGGCTCAAGTCACAACATTCAGATCCAGACCTGAATCCAGGATTCTTTGTCCAAGCTCGGCTCTACAACTAAGGCTAGGTCTAGACTACAGTCCTTTGTTGGAAAAAGCTACGCAATTTTTTTTCCGATCACTTTTCCGGAAGCGGCTTTTCTGCCTTTTGGCCCAGTCCAGATGGGGCCAAATGGTAGAAAAGCCTCCTCTTTTGGTGGAGCCCTTATCCCTTATAGAACGAGGTATTCAGGGTTCCCTGAAAGAGAGCATTTGCTCTTCTGCAAAAGAAGGTGGAAGAGCAAACACATTCCTCGGACGTGGCAGAGTTTTTCTGAGGTATCCCAGAAACCCCCCGCAGTGTAGACATACCCTAAATGTGCTTATTAGTAAAAGTAATTCACCAAAAACTACTGCATAAAGACAGAAATATTGGAAGTCTACAAACCTTTTAGTGTACCTTTGCTATTGAAGTAGAAAGAAAGAAAGAAAGAAAGAAAGAAAATGGTTCATAGCATGATTTTTGAATTCTTCCTCTTTTCAAAGTCTGAGGTTTGAACATTCATGAACAGTTGACTGTTTGAATTGTATAATGCAATACCTGTTCCTCTGGCTTAACGTTGCAATATTTCCCACACCGCAGGATTGCTTCACATTATTCTATGAGGCAGTGTCATTTTCTCTGCAGTGCTGGGTCTTCTTTACTGAAATGAAGGACACTCCTACTTCCTTTAATTATATGTTTTGTTTTAAATTGATGTCTTTTATTCTGAGCATGAATCACCAGCTTGTATACAGGTAAATGTGGGAGTAACAGGGAAAATGTAAGTTTGATTCCCAAAGTGGGTATCTTTAATTAAAATAGGCATAAAAGTTTATTCTTACTAATTTACCATGTCCTCTCCAAATCAATGTTACTGTATACATTAATATATTAATAAATCATTGCATCCTGTCCCTTGACACAAATATATCTCACTTTCCCCCATTTATTTTAAATACAGTTCCTTAAATGTGGGAGTAACAGGGAAAATGCAAGTTTGATTCCCAAAGTGGGTGTCTTTAATTAAAATAGGCATAAAAATTTATTCTTACAAATTTACCATTGCCTCTCCAAGTCAATGCTACTTTATACATTAATATATTAATAAATCATTGCATCCTGTCCCTTGACACAAATATATCTCACTTTCCCCCGTTTATTTTAAAGACAGCTGCAAGAGCACAAACTCCATATCACTTGTGTACTCTGACAATTGCAACATACTACATAAGGCAAACATGCCAGGCCAAACATTAAGGCCGTCAGCCCTGCACACAGAGGTGATGGGAGAGTTTTGGATTTGCCTACCATTTCTAATTGCTGGTCTTCTTCTGAGGCAGTGCCTTACCCTGGTTTGCGCCCAATACCACATGCTTTTTACACCCACTGTGGCAAGCTAGTTCTGAATGTGTCTGTATGGGATAATTCTGCTTGCCAGCTCCATAAAATTCACAGAGCATTGAATTGGTATTAAGATCTGGCTTCTATTCCTGGCTCTACCTCTGATTTGCTAAGTTATCTTGGGCAAATCCCTTAACCTCTGTGCCTTAATTTCCCCATATGTAAAATGGGGATACAGACACTCACCCACCTCAGTAAAACAGGTTGAGACCTACAGACGAAATCTACAGATATCATAAGCCTTAGATGCAATGGATCCAGCTCCTACTGGCCTTTGCTAGCCACATCTGGCCATTTGCTAGTCCCACAGCTGGACACCCAGTGGTTTGCATTGGGGAATCAGGGGAAAGAGGCTGAAATCTGGGGAAGAAGGATGGGGGGGAAGGGAATCTGGTATCTGCTTTTCCCCCTCCTCTCTGAGGACATATTAGATGGGAGGAGAGGGGCAAAAGGGTTTAGTCCATATTGATACATGGGCAGATGCAACGTCCCCCTGTGTGAGCTACTGTGTCCGTGTCAGAAGGTCCCATCAGGAGTGATTATAGTCCAGTGACATCGCCTGTAGATGTGACAGCAGCTGGCAAAAGTATAAGGCGGTTTTCCCTGTCTCTGGCCCAAATCGTCCCTCCCTTCCTTGAGGGTGAAAACGAGCCCCCTCGGCTGCGACGCCTGCCCTGCTTCCCCGGTGAATGACGAGGTCAGAGTCCCACACGCCAAGTGCCTCCTGCGGAGCGAGAGGCACTCGGTACAACTGTACAAAGTGTGCACCATGTGGCAGCCAGCCAGCCAGTGACGTCCCTGTTGCCATGGGATCCACCGCCCCTATAAATAACAGCAAAGGAACTTTCCTAAGTCAGAGACTTTAGGACTCGGACCTAGAACCAGATGGTCCGGAGAAAGAGAAGCAGCCGCCGCCGGATCTGAGCCAGCCCAGGTGGGCAGCACAGCCCAGAGACCGAGGCAGGATTTGGAGGCCCCCGCATCACCTTCGGCAGCTTGATCCCGCGGCTGGGGGCCCCCCTGCGCTGTCTCCTCCTCCCTGCACTCCCCTTTGCTTTCATGCAACGCCTGGTGGCCTGGGACCCAGCATGCCTCCCTATCCAGCCACCCGCCTTTAAATCCATGGAAGTAGCTAATTTCTACTACGAGGCGGACTGTCTGGCTGCGCTGAGCAAGCTGCACCCGCGGGCGGCAGGGGGCCGCTCCATGACCGAGCTCACCGTAGGGGACCACGAGAGAGCCATCGACTTCAGCCCTTACCTGGACCCCTTAGCAGCATCCCAGGCGCCGCCGCCGCAGCAGCAGCCTCCGCCTGCAGCAGCAGCAGGGGGCAGCTCTGAGCCTCCCTGCAGCAGCGGCGCCAGCCAAGATTTCCTCTCCGACCTCTTCGCCGAGGACTATAAAGGCGGCGGCAAGAAGCCCGACTTCACCTACATCAGCCTGGCCAGGCACTGCCATCCGGGCGCCGGCCAGGCCCATAAGCCGGGCGGGCTGCTGCCCTGCTTCCCGTCCCAGATCGTGGAGACCAAAGTGGAGCCGGTCTTCGAGTCCCTGGACTCTTGCAAAGGGTCCCTGAAGGAAGAAGGGGGCGCCAGGCCGGGCGCAGGGGGCATGTCCTCCCCTTACGGCAGCACCATGCGCTCCTCAACCCGTCCGATTCCTCCAAGTCCGGCGGCGGAGCGGGCTACGCCGGGCCGCTGGGCTCCAAGAACAAGAGCAAGAAGAGCGTGGACAAGCACAGCGAGGAGTACAAGCTTCGCCGGGAGCGGAACAACATCGCGGTGCGCAAGAGCCGGGACAAGGCCAAGATGCGCAACCTGGAGACGCAGCACAAAGTTCCGATTCCTCCAAGTCCGGCGGCGGAGCGGGCTACGCCGGGCCGCTGGGCTCCAAGAACAAGAGCAAGAAGAGCGTGGACAAGCACAGCGAGGAGTACAAGCTTCGCCGGGAGCGGAACAACATCGCGGTGCGCAAGAGCCGGGACAAGGCCAAGATGCGCAACCTGGAGACGCAGCACAAAGTGATGGAACTCACCAGTGACAATGACCGGCTGCGCAAGCGG